TTTCCCAAGCATAAGCCGTGGGTTTCCTCCTCCTCAGGTGAGACCTGCCTGATGACTTCTGTATTCAAGATCTTATTCAACAGCTCACACTCGCTTCATATCCAGTCTTTCATTTTCCCTTCCTGTGTGTCAGTGGACATCTGTTGTCTTGTCCTAAGTTCACTGCAGCTTTTCTTGTGAGTTTCCAGTCCTCCCATCTCCATCCATGTGAAATGTCTGCCTGTCTATGTACAGTGTTAGGTTCTCATATTTCCTTTGAGTTCTTTCTGCATTATAATTCTCTCTAGAAGTTACTAATCATTTCAGTCATTATAGCTGTATTAACCTATACTGTCAATGACATGACATTGACAATAGTTGTTTAAAATACTGTTTCCTAATTTGAATACCTGTCTATTCATGGGTCTAACTATAATGGTTGGACTTTTCTTGACAGGGTCCCTCCATGTAGCCCAGGCTGCTCCTAATCTAAATATGCTCCCACCTCCAGCAGAGTCCTAGGATTGCAAGTGTGAGCCGCCGAGCCTGCACTGGAGACTGAAGCACCTTGCATATAGCTCCACTCAGAGAAGGCATAGGCTTCTTCTTGCCTCTGTGAGTGAGGGTGAGGTTGGCCTTCAGGCCCCTCATTGAGTGGACTCCAGGCCCCAGCCTCAATGTGTTCCATCAGTTGGTGCTTACCTTGGCTCCCAGCTCTCCTCGTTGTCTCTATTTCTCATTTACTTTTTAAAGATTCATTTGTAAATTTCTCTTTCACCTTCAATACTGAGACAGATCTCAGAAATCATGGAACACAGAGCGGACACTGCATGGAAAGCAGGTGCTCCATGTGAGAACTGTCCCAGGAAGAGCTGCCACAGGGAGCTCATGGGAGGCACCAGGAGCCCTGTATCCCAGAACAGTGTCATCATAGTGTATGGAATTGATTAGAGTTTACTAAGGATTAAAATGAGAAAAGTTAGGGTCGTCTATAGGATGTAGACTTTCTGCAGGGGTGTCAAGGGAGCTCAGAGAAAAGTTTGAACCCAGCGCTCCCTAGATTGTCATTATCCAGGCACAGCAGAGTAAGATCAACAGACAGGTAAAATGTTCCATTGGGATGTCGCTTTCCGTGCTCCCCAGCGTGATCTTGTCACCTTCCATAGACACTAAAATTATAGTCAGGGAGAGAAGTTAAAGACTCCCTTTACCTAAATCTGTGCAGGTTCTCCTCATGTGCAGAGTCGTCCCTATCTCATCCTTCCGGGTAAGTGCTCTGTACTCAAGGTGCAGACAGTAGGTGGTTGGTCCCAGGCAGGCTGTGGGAGGAGGAACACTGGCCTGGCAGTGAGGTTTTCACTGTCTGCAGAGGAGACACTGAGCTCAACAGTTCTGCTCAGCACGGAGGACTGGGTTCTGCACAGGCAACGACAACATTTTCTTCTTAGGATATGATTTTCTCAATTTAAACTAAATTAAACCAAACTAAAATTTGCCACTTTTCATAGGAAATGTTAATGACTTTGGGTTTACATTAATTTTTCTGAATTAAATGACACAATGAAGAGCAATATCGATGCTTGTCACATACAATATATTTTTGTGATTGTAAATACTTATTCGTATACTATTACAAAATTGGTAAGTTTTCAATTCACATTTTCATTAAATATTCTTAGTTTTGCTTCTGTCATATTTTTAAATTGAAATAGAACTATTACTGCTCAAAGTAACTTCTCTAGTTTGAGTAATTAAAAATAATTTCAGGGTCTTTAGAAGGCAGCGAACAATATTTGTGTCTACTAATCTTTTCTCTGTGTTCTGGTCACTGAAAAACCACACCTCACAATTACCTGACAATAAAGATGCCCGAATCTCACTGTGTTTGGAACAAAGTTCAGTCAGCTGCTCATCCTGCTCTGTCTCTCTACTTAGCGTCCAGAGTTTTCTTGGTCTGTATCTCTCATGAATGTCATGAGCAGTAAAGGTGTACATTCATTTGTCTCATTACTAACACCCATGACTATAATGTGAAGGGAAAGTCAGAACTGTGTGACAAGAAGCCAGTCCTCACTGTCCTTTCATCACTGAGCTCCTCAGGCAAACGTGCTCTGTGCTGATTGTGGCCTTCTGGTGTTGACACCCAGGTCTGTGACACAGCTCCTCGGCTTCCTTCTTTGTTTAAAGTGAACTTTCTCTACTCTTGCAGCTTCTGGAGCCATCTCTAAAAATACTGGTAAGCATTCTAGCTGCCAGTCTGAACCCCAAGATTGTAGTAGTATTGTTTCAGTTTTATGAAGAGTGGGGTTATCAAGCTGGTTTTCAGAAGCAGCTGTCATTTCCTAGATCAGATATTATCCAGGCACGTGCCCATCATATTCCTGGAGTTCATTTATTTCATAGACCTCTAGGCACAGCTCTGACATCTGGGTGGTGATGTCTTTACCTCCCCTAATGTATCAGCAATTTTCCCTAATGCCTTCCTAGTTTTCCAGCTAGAATTGCTCCATAGAGAGAACAGCGTGCTGCCCAATTTTACCTCATCCTGAGTCCATTTGCAGGAGGCAGAAGCAGTCTCACCTTCCAACCACCCCTCCCCTGTCCATTTTTACGTGAACTTCAACAGGGAACAACAGTGAGAACTATATGGTGAAGGTGAGCTTGTGTACGGTCAGAGACACAAGCACAGACACCAATTGCTCAATCCTGAGCAAAATCATGACCTTTACTGATCCTCTGACATCAGGAGATGGCGTGCTTTCTTCATGTTGCAGAGGAGGAATCAGATGCATCTTTCTACCTTCCCTCACCCCACAATCAGTGCACACCCAGGATAATAAACACCCACCCTGCCCCGGGGTCTGCAGAGGGGTGTCCTCCTCTATTCCACTCTCTACTTCCCTCCAGATCACAACTTCAGGTCATTGTCCTGAGCACTTGTCACTTGTTGAGGCCATTTGATGATAACAGGGACTCTAGCTCTGTGATTTGGGTCATTGCAGGATGGCACAGTGTCTAAAGTCAGGCTTCCTTGATCCATACACTACAGGGATTTTTAGGTCTGGTGTTCTTTCTTGGCGGCCCCAGCCTTCACAGTCAGTTCTAGTATAAGAATGCTCAGATTTCTCTTGCTCATTCCTTGCTCCATGAAAATTCTGTTTCCCAGTCCATCCACTAGGCTTTTTCTTCTTCCCTACTCTTTGAATGGGACCAGTTTTAAAAATCCACATCACTTATCAGTGGCTTGTTTCCTCATATACAGAAGTCTCTGTGAAACAACTTGTTTTTTCATTATTTAAAACAAAATTTTGGCTGATTATATAATAGGTTATCCTAGGACCATCACATCACTCACTCAGCTTCTCTGGGGAATGTATCTTCATTCTGCTGAGAGTAGAGAGCTTCTGTCTTATCCCCTAAGTTTCTAAACCATGCCCTGCTAAGCAGATGTAAACTGATGAGGCACAGTTGGGAAAGGACAACCTAGATAGAGGATTCCTTTTGATTGTTTTCTGAGTGGTTCATATTCCACAGAATGCATTCCACAAAACGATGTCAGTCTGGAAGTTTCTAGTATACATTTCTTTATAATATTTATTATATAAAATATATACCATGTTTGGTTTATATGATTGATAAAAATGTGATGAATAGTTGGAGATAGCAGGATGTAAGAAATGTTTTCTGTGGTCTCTCTTCTGGCCAGTTGGTACTTGTGATTACTAAAAACTACATCACTTTCCTTCGTCTGTCTTTTGGATAAAGGAGGCTGCTATAGTGTTTAATCTCCAGAAAACGTTGTCCCAGTGATTTCAATGCTATCATCCACTAGAGTCATAGTTTTATGAGTATGACATGAAACCTTGGCCTCTGTACCATCTTGATTTTCCTAAATCATTTGAGGTTTGCAGGGCTACAGATTCTGAAATAACACTAAACATAACGTAACTCAATACCCTGGTTTACAGATGATGAAAACACACTACTTGCAATTTTAGAAAGTTATGTGTTTGTAAAGCTTAAAGTTTGCTTTTCTTTGTTTTAGTTTTTATTTTGTTTCTGACTTGTTACAGAGTCTGAGATTCGGCAATCGAGTCTATATGTTTTATCATGATAAATCAATGGGAATAATTAAGTAAAATGAATTTAAAACTCTTATTACCTAGAATACATGGTCTATTAATCTTATAAGTGATTGTTTCCTGATGATGCTACAGAATTCTTATTTTGGGAAATCCCTATTTATAAATGCTCTAACTACCTTAGATTTGATTTGTTTTTTCATTTTGTTTATTTTATGTGGTGGGAAGGGGGTGGTGTAAAAGCCACAGCATACAAGTGGAAGTCAGAGGACAACTTCTGGGAATCAGTTCTTCCCTTTCACAATGAGAGTCCCAGGGATCAAACTCGGGTCATCAAGATTTGGCAGCAAGTACCTTACCTACTGAGCCATCTCAGCAGCCCTCTAGTGCTGAGTTCTGGAATGGGCCTCCAAGTTTGGGAACTTTGAATTTTTTTTTTTTTTTTCTGGTCTTTTTGAGACAGGGTCTCCCTCTCGCCCCAGCTGTCCTAGAACTCACTATGTAGACCAGGCTGGCCTTGAATTCACAGAGATCTGCTTACCTCTGTCTCCTGAGTGCTGGGATTAAAGGTGGGCACCACCACACCTGGCTGAACTTTTGACAATTTTGTTTCTCATCAATAGCTTCCATTACCAAGCCCTGGGATCTAAACAAAATAAGTATATTTGTCCTAAACTGTTGGGGGGGGGCTTCAAGCCAGCGACCCCCGTGCAGTGATGATTGGGGATGAGTAAGCGCACCGTTTGCCAGCCAATGCTGCCCCCAGTACTGGGGACAATCAGATGCAACCAAGAGCCTAGTCAAGGAGGGACTCATTTATTGCAGGTGTTACAGAGCTTATAAAGGCACCTGGAAACCCCACCACCACCACCCCCAACCCCCAGTGTATCTTAAGGATGGTCATGCGCTGACCATGCACTCCTCAGCTCTGCGGAAGTATCCTTCAGACTTTTAAAACAAGTCAGGCCACACCCCAGTAACTTCCTCTCAGACTTCTGCAAGGCGGGGGGCCTTCAGGTCCCCACACTACACCTTTTCAGATGATAATCCTTTTTAAGTATATAACTAGAAACTGTTACATTATTACAAAATTCATGTGTATGATGCTTTAAAGTCAATAAATATCCTATGAGAAATATCCTACCAAATCATTCATCTAATCTACTGTACATTTTACGCCTGGGCCTCTTTAGTGTGAGGAAATACCACTGCTCACTCGAAGGAAAGATGTTATCTTAGACTCCTGTGGAAAACATCTTCAGGATGGTTGAATGCTTCTTTAATTAAAACCTTACAATAGAATGGCCCTGAATTTACTGTAACTATAATTCTATTTATCACTCTGATCTCACATACTGAAAGAAAAATCTGGAATATGTTCCTGCTGATATTTGATTACTGAGCTCTTCTCACAGAGGCTATCTATCCTGGTATGACATTAAAATATGTATGAGATGCACAGTACAGTGTGATTCAAAGACAAACCTAAAATTCTACCATGTTGCTTGGGAAGGGATTGTTCAGTGTTCTACTGTTTTGAATTTTTTATCTTCTCTGTTTCAGGTGGGGACAGAGCTGATCACTAATTTAAAAAACTGTCTTCTCTCAGGCCACACACATAAAGAACTGCATAAGAATAAAATCAGCAGCCAGCGTCCCCACAGAGATCACTATGTTCCACAAACACTTCCAGGTTGGGTACATAGACTGCATCTTCACACCTAGTGTCTCCATGACACAGGAACAACTGTCCATGTGTTCTACATGAGGTGACTGGAGCTCAGAGTGCTCAAGGTCACACAGAATAAATGGGAGATTGTGGAATTTGAAGCAGTCTGGATTAAGAGTTCATGCTTATCAGCACATCTTGCAGAACCCTATTAAGAGCATGAGGTCTGCAACAGAGGAAGAGACTAGAGAGAGCACTGAAGCACAATGACTCTGGGCATATCTAATCCTGGGCTCTCTGTCCTGGGGAAGTTCTCATCTCTTTTGTGCAATCTTTCCCACTGAACTTGATCAAATATCGTAGAGCTATTATATACCTAGAATCAAGGTGATGCCGATGAAAACCACGTGAGATGCTGCTTTTCTCTGAGGAAAATTCAAACATGGAGCAATAGGAAAATAAACATTTTAATGACACTTGGCACCTTTTAATGTAGAAGAAAGTTTACACATTGAAAGTCTTGCAGTGGGGCACATAATCCAGCCATGACTAAGAAGTATTAGATCAACAGAGAAAGAGGGGATGGCTTCTGGATGACCTGAGGTGGGGCTGAGTGTTTAAATGGAGCAAGGGTGAGTTGGGATGCATCAACGTGTTCTCATGAAGGACACAATGTTATCTGAGACTGAGGAACAAGGTTGTACTTGTGATGAGTTTTCTTGTTCTCTTCAGACAGCTACTATTTGCTTTTTTCACCCGTAAAATGAATAAAGTCAACAAACACAACATTGGCATCAGAAACACCATATATTCTGAAGCTGGAATTGGGATCTCAGCCAACAGCATCCTTCTTCTCTTCCACATCCTCATGCCCATTCGTGGGCAGAGGCCCAGACTCACTGACCTGCCCATTGGGCTCTTGGCTTTAATCCACCTGCTGATGCTGATAGTCATGGGACTCATAGCTACAGACATTTTTCTACCTTGGCAGAGATGGGATGACATCACGTGTAAATTCATTATGTTCTTGTACAGATTTTTTAGGAGTCTCTCGCTGTGTACCACTAGCCTGATCAGCATTCTCCAGGCCATCACCCTCAGCCCCAGAACCTCCTGTTTAGCAAAGTTCAAACGTAAATCTTTACATCTCATCCTATGTTCCCTTCTTTGCATGAGTGTATTCTATACATCCATTAGCAGTGTCCTCTTAAAACATATCATTGCAACCCCTAATTCCACCTCACCCAATCTCACATATGTCACTGAATCTTGCTCTCTTTTACCCATAAGTCACTCTGTTGGGCATGCATTTTTCACACTGCTAACCATCAGGGATGCCATCCTTACAGGATTCATGGCCCTGTCGAGTGCATACATGGTGACTTTCTTATACAGACATAAAAAGCAGTCCCAGTTTCTTCATGGCACCAGCCTCTCCCCAATAGCATCCCCAGAGCAAAGAGCCACCTGCTTCATTCTGCTTCTCATGAGTTTCTTTGTGCTGATGTCCACTTTTGACAGCATTGTCTCCTACTTGAGACATACAAATGACAATCCAATATTGTATTGTGTCCAGATTTTTGCAGCTCATAGCTATGCCACAGTGAGTCCTTTGTTGATCCTCAGTACTGAAAAACGTATAATTAACATTGTGAAATCCATGATTTGTAGGACGGTAAACATCTGACTATTTGGTGATGGATAAGTTCTCTTAAAAGTAGTCAGTGTTCTGGTGTCAGAGCTGTGACTTTTGATGCAGTGTATATGTTCTGTGTTGCAAATTAAAATATAAGGGTGTGGGGTTTGTGAAACCTATTTATTTCTATATGTATGGATGGCTTACATAGAAACACCCACGTGCCAGAATATATAAGGGTTTCACATTTCCCAGTGTGTCTTCAAGGGAGACATGGGATGTGACTCTAGCTGCCATGGTGTGTGTTAACACCCACCCCCACTGCAGTGTATTTTCAAGGGAGATATGGGAGGTGGCTCTCAATGTCATGGCCTGTGTTACCCACACTACTGTTGAATATGTGACAACTTATAATACTCTTCAACAATTCAGTTCCCTCACTTATCTCTACTTTGCCAGACTAGATATGTAAACACTTATAAATATCACATGAGGAGAAAATAAACTTGGTCATCTGCTCAATGATGCCTGTAATAACAGGAGTCACAACAGTGAAAGTTAAACCACAAAATGTCTAGAACCATAAGAATGTATAAACAATGTGCAACCTCTACATACAGTGGACTATTATTCAGTCTTAAAGCAGAAGAAAATTCTGGCACATGGTACAATGTAGATGATCCCTGAAGCTACCACGCTAACTGAAATAAGCATGTTACACAGAATAAACACTGTATGAACCTACTTACAGTAGTTAAAACAATCTGACAGAAACACAACAGAATGCCATCTAAAACCAAGAAGGAAAAAACAGGGCATGCTTGCTTGGTGGAGGCAGAGCTGTGTTCCGGATGAAAAAGTGCTGCACGTACACATGCTTATGGGGTACAAAAATGTGAATTTGATGTGAATTTCCCATTTTAAGAACTCAGCTGTGTGCTCAAAATGGGAAATGGGGGCCTGGAGAGCTGGCTCAGCGGTTAAGAGCACTGACTGCTCTTGCAGAGGACACGGATTTGATTCCCAGCACCCACATGGCGGCTACGAACCCTCCTTAACCCCAGTTCCAGGAGAATCCAAAGCCCTCTTCTGACCTCCACCACATTGCACTCACATACATGTAGGCAATACACTCATACACATAAAATAAAAATAATAAATAAAAAATTTTTAAATGGGAAATGGTTGTATTATGCGTGCTTCAGCATAATAAAAATGTGTCCAGTCACCTTAACCCAGCTGTGAAAAAATGTTCCCTGAAAGTAAGAAGCGAAAATGTTCTTAAAGTGCTAAAATACAAATGTTCAAACTTTAATGCATTTAACAAACTTGTCCAAATGACGTCTTGAAGGATTTCCAATGATGTGCCTCTTATTCTCAGTTGCTCCAAAGAAAGCAGAGAAACTCCAGATAGAGTCAGGTAAGCACCACTCCGTGCTGCTCAGCCTTTAAGAGAGTTTTTAGCTTTGCTAGCCTTGGCTACACAGGGAGCTCCAGGCCAAGCTGGGCTCCATGAGACCCTGTCTCAAACAAACAAACAAACAAACAAACAAACCAAAAAACTAGCTGGGCGTGGTGGCACACGCCTTTAATCCCAGCACTTTGGAGGCAGAGGCCAGTGGATCTCTGAGTTCAAGGCCAGACTGGTCTACATAGTGAGTTCCAGGACAGCTGGGGCTACAGGGAGACCCTGTCTCAAAAAGACCAAAAAAAAAAAAAAAACTAAAAAGAAGAAAACCTTCATCCTGGCTTTAAGTGACTCTAGTGTTGTGAATTTCTGGATCAAGTGTTGCATATGAAGTGAAAACTCCAAAGTTCAGTAATAACCCCACACAGCCCCTGCACACAGGTGTTTACAGCAGCATTCTTCCAATCACTGTAAAGTGCAAAAGGATGAAGATGCACTCCTGTGCAGGAGTGGACAGGCAGGGGCAATGCTATGTAGTGGATTCCCGGGCAGCAAGAGAAGAACAGGCTAGGGATGGACTCAACACAAATGAATTTCAGCTGCATCTTACTGAGTGAAAGGAGCCAGACAGGCTGTGTGTTTCTTGGTTCCCTTCCCAAGACATTCCTTACAAGGACATTATAGGACAGACAACAACTTACGAGAGTGTAGACTGTTGGTGGAAGGGGAAGTGGATGAATGAGAAGAATGGGGTTCAAAGGGGAGGGAACTGCTGTATTTGATGGAGGAATGGGCACACAACTATTTCTTTGTCAAAACCCATAGAATTTTATATTTTTAAAGGTTGAGCCTCAGTGTTTGTAAACTTTTAAAACAACTGACCTCAGCATCTCTGGTAGATGATGTTTTGTCTGAACATCTGAGGCTACAGATACTTTAAGGTGTGAAGCCTGACGTGAACACTAGATGCTCACTGGTAAATTAGTTGCTTACAGAAGTAGGGTTTGGTAATTCTAAAACTGCTAATACAGTTCAGCAATGAGCAAAAAGCTTCTTGGTAGTAAGCTCAAACTTTGTATTGTTGGAGAACAGAGAAACAGAAAATAAAGGATGTTTAAAGCCCCACTGCACTGCACAGTAGCCTGAGACATGAAGCCATGCTTAGATGGTAAATATGGAATGATTTGGATATGCATGTATCAAAATTGTTGGATGATATGCTGATATACATGGCCCAGCTCCATTTGTTTTGATGACCAGAGAAGCAATGTCCATTAATACCTACTGCCCGGATCTCCATCCCTAAATACCAAGTGCGGTGTCAGCAAGATGTAGGAAAAGAAAGTTCCAGGGTTCATTCCCCATAGAAAAACTGAAGTAGTGATGGTGGTGATCATGCCTACAATCCTGGTACTGTGGGGACTAAGGTAGGAAAATTGCACACAAGTTTGAGGACAGCCTGGGCAATGTAGATAACACAAATGGAGCTAGGCCATGTTCACAGTTCACAGTACAGTCCACCATGGAGGGGACGTCAAGGCAGCAGGAACTGCAAGTAGGAGGTGACATCACACCTGAAGTCAGAAAAGAGAGCACTGGACATATGCGTACTGCCCATAAGGTGGACCCTGTGAGGATCCACCATCTCCTATTCAAACTCTCAGTGCCCTCACCTCGCTTTCTTGCTATATTTCAAGCCACTGTCTAAGACAGCACATGATCCTCTAGCACAGGGGGGAGACTGGGGAAAGCTTAAATTTAAGCCTGAGAATTTGAGCAGCTTGCTTGGAATTCAAGCTCCAGCACAGCCCTGGTTGAATCATCTGAAACGTCCACTTCTCTTTCCTTGCACATATCCTGGACATCTCTTGACAGTGCTAGCCACTTCTCCAGGCCTCTTACCTCATCTTGCTGGTAGCTCCTCCTCAGTTTGTTTCCACTCTCCATCAATAGCAAGGCAGGCACCCCACACAGGAACCAGGGTGCTGGGCTGGAGCACCCTGCTCCAGGCTGCTCCCAGCATTTGTGAGATGCCATATTTCACACTGCTCCAGACAGATTACCTGGAAGGTCCCTCCTCCTGACACCCAAGGCAGAAAAGGCTGCTCCTGCTCTGGTAGGAAGCCAGTCTTTTATGTGAAGATGTAAAGGGGAGGGGGAGCTGTTCTTGTCCAGCCTCTTCCCATGCCTCATCTTCCTGTTCTTGCACCTGCTTCTGCTGAGTCATCCTTCTGCAAATTGAAATCTAGCCTAAAGTGTGCCTTGTGTCTGCTCTCATGATTAAGGTCCTAGAACATCAGATAGGGACATTGTCCCCCTGAGCCTGGCCGGAACCTAGGGAGGCTGTCACTTGTTCATCAAACCTTCCTAGCCAGGCAGGTCTTAACCTCTCCAGTTCTCCATGTGGCACCAGGAGTGTTCTGAACACACAAGATGCCTGACCACACTTGATGTCCCCCACAGCCCACAAGGTCATGCTAATGATGCATCCTTACAGAACAACATCCTGAGAAAGGCAGGCTCTCAGATCGGGAGACAGGAATTCAGGGTACAGAGCCCGAGTCTCAAGGCCAAGCCCTCAGCCCTGCAACTCTTGACTTCCAGGGAAGCAAAGCTAGGACTGAGGTTGCAGCCAAAAAGGATTTTTATGCAGCTCCTGGGAGTTACTGGCAATTTTTGTTTTTAGAACCTAAACGGGGCCAAATTTTGTCTATGAAATGTATCAATGTAGGAGTTCCCCGAGTGTGTAGAGCTGAGGTGCCAGCCAGCCCTGGCCACTTGTGTGCCTCTTCACAGCTACTCCCTAGGCTGGGGGTGGAGTCTAGCTGGCCACTAGGGTCAGCAACTACCCTGTCACTGATTGTGACCTCAGAGACTTCTGACCTTGCAATGGGCCTGTGGGCCCTGCTGGCCCAGAGGATTATGGGTTATGGTTCCCTTGGTGGCCTGGCTGCCAGGACTGTGGCCAGCATCAACCCCTGTGGTGTCACTTAAACCTGTACCATGGTCTGCAGTTCTGCTGGTTTGCTTGTTCCCAGAAGACCCTGGACCTGGGCCTTCCCATCTGACAGAGGTTGAGTGTGGCAACTGGGCTTAGGTGTGGGGTTATAGCAGCTCTCCTACTTACAACTTCCTAGGTCAGGGGCAGCTCCAGGGCTTTGTGACCCAAGCCTTAATTGTCAAATTAGAGATTTAGGCTGGGCTGCCTGGTGAGCTCTAGCAGCCTGTGTGACTGTGAAGGACAGCTTCAAGCCAGTTTGTGAGGATCCCTAAGATGGCAGAAGAGATGCCTGAGGATGTGTGGTCATATGGTGGAAGGGTCTCCATAGGGAAGCAGCAATAGCAGCCAGCAGGCTGACACAGCTATGCTGCAAATGAACACAGGTTCCAGGGAACCCCTGCTGCCTCCTTGGTCACCTAGGACTGGCTACCCTGGAACCTCAGCCCCAACTTTTATCAGGTGGATACAAACAAAGCTATTGACCTGCCGGGACATCTTTCCCTTCCTGAAAAATTGGGGCGATGACAATGTTCTCCATGAGTGGAGAAAATTGAGTGAGCTCAGCAGACACCAGCCACAACCTCATGTTCCTGCCCCTGCCCTAGCAGCCTCCTCTTGTCTTCAGCCTCCTCTAGCCATGGCAGAGAGGGCCACAGTCTGACTGCTTCTGTGATGGAATCGAGAACCCCCAAGAAGACTTGTCAGCTTAAGAAACATAGGATCAATGCCCAGGAGAGATTCGCCAAGAAGTTCCCCTATAGGTACAAGATGACCAGAATCCCTAGGGCTGGACCCTGCTGCCCCTCCAAATTACCCCCAGGTCTCTGGAATATAGATGGTATTCTGAGGAGTTACAGCTGGCGGGGAGAGTCTCTCACCCACATGGTTCCTGAGGAACCCTGTGCTGTGATGATGCTCTAGGTCTCCCTTCTTCACCCCCTGCCCCTGCCCATGTGAGCCAAAGGCCCACTGTGGTGTCTAGGAGGTCAATTTTGGTGAAATATTCAGAGTAGGACCGGGAAGATAGAAAGCTCCCAGGCAGTATGAGTTTCTGTGGGTGACTAGCAGCTGCAAGCACTTTGCTACTCACCTTGCAGGTTCTCTTTGTTGATAGAGCCCAGCTCTGAATCCTCAGTCTTGGAAGGCCAAGAACAACCCACCAAAAGAACCAGCTACCACTACAGAAGAAACTGGTGCCAACAAGGTCCATCCCCATCCCAGGGTAAGTTCCCATTCCTGGCTGCTCTCTATGGCTACAGACACCCATAGAGACGTGCTGACATGACCCCACCACATACAAGGAAACCTCCACCAGGCTGTAGTGTAGCATGTACATAGGCCTGATAGACCCACTATTCCATCCTGACAGGCTCTAAGACTAGAGGGCAAAGGGCCTTCTGACACCCCAGCCTCACCCCAATGCCTCAGATCCCTCTCTTAGACTCCAATTAATCCTGGCTCAGCAGTAGCATCAGGGCCAAGGGCAGAATCCTTGGTCATGGTTCAGTATATTAACTCCAGCCAGCTCCCAGGATGCATACCTAACTCCCCAGCACACCTAAAGAGACGATAATACACACACACACACACACACACACACACACACACAGGCCCAGGCCTGGCTTTCTGCCCCAGGCCCTGTGCCTCCTCCCTTATCTGGCTGCCAAAGCATAAGATCTCTGACTTCCAACTCAAATCTCCTAACTGAACTGGTGAAGACTGGCTGCTGAGGCTGGGGCGGGAAAACTGATAAGTCCCCATACCTCAGTTTCCATTTGGGCAACCTGGAAGCAGCTTGGAGCATGGAGAGGCTGTAGATGTTCAGCCAGCTGTATTGGAGTGAGGGAGGACAGTGAGGCTGGCCTGGGTTGAGTAGGCCCAAGGTCCCAGGCCAAGATGTTAAGGATACTGTAGTACAGGGAGCACAAAGAGCAGAGGAGCCTGAGCAGAGACAAATGCTTCTGGGAGGACCGAGGCTTTGAGTGACAGTGAGGCCAGGCCAAGAGAACCAACCAGGGACAGGGCAGCACTGAGGCCTAACCAGTATGGAGGGCCAGGTAGACCATAAGAGTTAGGAAAGAGGAGGGTGAGGGCTGAATGGCCCACCAAACCAGAGCAGATGAGCAAGATGTAAGTAGAAGAGACCCCAAATCGACTGGGCCCCCCAGTTCTGAACTCCTACCTGCCCCTTGGTGAGAGCCAAGTGTGGGGTCCAAAGCACAGAGAAGGGAGAAGGAAGTGTGTAGGAGAGGAACAGGGACCGTGAAGGAGGAGATACGCAAGGTGGAGAGACTGCATGTGCAGATCCCATAAGTGAGAAGAGAGCAAGGTCCCACCTGGTGAACTTGAAGGGAGCAGGCTCAGGTGGGGAGGTGGAAGGAGACAGTCTCAGATGGGAGGGAGTAGTCTCAGGCATGGAGAAGCAGGAGGGGACATGCCGCACTAGCACGTCAAGCTCCGAGTATTCTGGGCAGAGGGCGTCAGGACTGAACAAACAATCACACCATCATGGAGTGGGAGGAAGGACTCTTTATTGTTTGAGACAAGGGTTTAAATACCTTTTCAGTAAAGGAGGTGGAGTCAGGACACATGATAATTGGGCATTCCCCTGATCACCTGACTGTAAGGCTAGTTTTGGGTCAGGGTGTACTTTTCTCAGAATCAGGAGGAAGTCCTTGTGATAAACAATTCCAGGAAATACCACAGATACCCAAGCTCTTATAAGGGGGAGGTGGAGGTCAGGACACCATGTCCCTGCAGGGACAGTCTCAGGTAGAGAGGTAGGAAGCAAGCTCCTGTAGGTAGCCTCACAGGAAAAATAAGCATGACTTATCAGAGTCCACTGACTGGCATTAAGAGGCAGCTCACCCAGTGTGTGGGCAGGACTGGGGTGGGTTTCAGGGGACAGCAGAGGCACAGGAGGCATTATGAACCTGCTGGGCTTCAGCTTGGATTTCCAGGGCTGGAGGAGCAAGTGGCAGGAGGTGTGCATGAGATGCTTCCTGGGCTTCCTGGGCAGCCACTGACTAGAGAGACTGTGTGTCAGACTGGGACAGGCCTGGCTGGGTGCAGAGCTGTTAAGAACCCTCCCAGATTTGGCCCTGTCTGCCCTGTCTGGCTTCAAACTGTGCAGGGTCCCCTGGTCAGGTGTGACTGTGTGTGGCTTCTCTAGGGTCGGAGCTCCAGATTTTACATTGCTGCTCAGCTTCTGCTCCCCACCCCGACAGTCTCCACTTTGTAACCTCTGGGAACTCAAGTTACTGAGCTTCCGTTTCCCCAGACAAGACCCCTGAAAGCTTCCCCCTCCAAGGGCCAATGCTGACCAGTCCTATGCAGGGCCATCTTGGAGTCTCTCCTAGAACCCCTTGCTCCTCTGCGTGACCTTCTTGGCAACCTTCTCTCTGCTCTGGGGAGCAGCCACAAAGACATTAGCGAAGGGAGCAGTCTTGAAGGCCACCAAAAATCAGGGGTGGTCCATCCCCCACCCCCAGAGACCACACAGCATTAATAAACTTTGCAGGTTCAAATCCTGCTTCTGATTGGACTGGTCACTTTGGTCTCTGAGCATCTAGTTTCTCATCTATAAAATGGATACAAGGTTTAATCTTGAGGCCTCAGAGTGAAGATTAAATAGAGCAAATGTCACTTCTAGTTTATCCAAACACATACCTGTAAATCAAGATAGTGGGACATTGGACCTGGAGAGATGGCTCAGTGGTTAAGAGCACTGGCTGTTCTTGCAGACAACCAGAGTTCAAATCCCAGCACCCACATGATGGCTAACAACGATCTGTAACTCCAATTCCAGGGAATCTGACTGTCAGGAGCCATGCTTCACATAAGCATTGGAAATTAGAAGAGTGCCACTTAAAGAGCTTCTGAGCTCTCTGCTTCAGCAGTAAGAGCTGACAGGATGTACCTGTATGATAAATTAGATCTTCTGGAAGATGCAGCTACGTGCTGTATCCATAGTAACTTTTTTGTTTCTGTTAGTAAAAATCACCTAGGTAACCCCAACTCCAAGTCAGACAAAAAGGACCTGTGGGGACCCCACAGTAGAGTTCCCTCTGGAGATCTCTCTCCGACCTGTACCTGCCTTCCCTTTAATAAATTCCTCGCATAACTTCAGACTTTTGTCTGAGTTTCTTTCTCGTTGAAGACCCAAGCCTGGTGGGCTTGGGGGGCGTTCAACAATTGGCGCCCAACGTGGGGCTTGAAGACCCCCAGCACCAGGCTGCCCAAGAAAGATTTTTTGAGGAAAAATTGTTTTTTGGGTAAGTATGCTTTTGTTAGGTAAGTATGTCCTTTTCCCTTCTTTCCTTCAGTATATTTTTCATAGTTATAGGTTGCAAGTTTCAGGGTTTGGTTTATGGGCTCTTGGTACGAGATTTTTGGATTTTAGAGTATGGGACAGAGTCAGGAAAAAAGTGGAAAAGGCGTCTCAGACAGGAGAAATAGTTTCACTTGACTTCTGGGCTGCTTGGACATTTGTTAGAGTGTTTGCTGAATATTGTCCAAGGAGCTTGTTTCCAAGCCAGTTTTTTCATACATTTAGAAAGACAATTAATCTTTATGAAATTCATGAGGAGGTGAGGCTTAAAGTCTTAGAGCAAGTTTGCAGAGTTTTTTATTCAGAGTTTCCTCCTCCTTACCCGGTTCCCGGCGTTCAGAGTTCAGGGAGAAAACAGACACAGACGGTTAACTTTAAATTCTGGCGCAGAAAATCAGACCTAGATATTAAAAATGGACTGTCCTGTTAAAGATGTTTTCTGCCTGATGTCTCTTGCTTGTCGTTTCAAACTTATGTAGGATAGGCTGAAAATGTGAGAAGCTGACTCTGGGCAGAAACTGGTCCTTTCTGCTCAGACTCATGATAGTTCTCACAAACTTCTGTTCTCAAGAATTTTCCAGGTTCAGACTGACCCTCTGACTCTGTGAAAGGAACTGAGATCAGCTTGCATGTTTTAGTGCCTTAGCATGCAGGATTTTCTCTGGCTAAAAAGGCTTCCACCTCAGGGGTCAGTCTCCTTGGGTCCCTTAATGGGTGGCCTAAACCTAGATTGATCGTGCAGTGTCTTATGGAAGCAGACAGGGAATTCAAATTCCGCTGCAGATTAATCTAACTAGGGAACAGTTTGAGGGCTGTTCAGGATCCTGACCAGGGCCGTCCACAGCGATGCTTTGGGATGTAAAATTGGCATGCCCACGTGATGTCTACACTGTGCCTTTTGAAGATCTGTGTTGGGTGCCATTCCCAACAAATTTTGTTTCAATTTGGTTTGATGGTACCATTTAACAAATTTCCCTCATTTTGAGCCTGGCATGGCTCTGTGTGAAAAATGGCATTTTTGGAACCTCCCTTTGTCTTTATTTTCCCGACAGCACAGGTCGGTGGCTCAGGTATGTGAGGTGGCATCCTGAGCACTCTAAGCAAGTAATTTGTGGCAGAAGTAGCTTGTGAGGAGTACTCTAAACAGGTGGCTTGTGGCAGAAGCCGCTTATGATGAGTCTAGGAGCTCTACAGGTAGTTTGTGGCAGGAGCTACAGGTAATAATGAACGAGTGATTTGTGGCAGGAATCACTTGTGATGCGCTCTTGAACCTATTTCACTCTTTTCCAGGTTCCATGATTGTGCAAAAGACATCAATAAATATTGTGCGCACTTTGAAAATTAAAATTTGGCTACTGATATCAGTTATAAATTTTTCTTTGACTTGTTTGTCTCACTTTGAATGTTAAGTTTGCTTGTGTCTCCATGGTTACCTGTTGTCACCTTATTGTTTCATGGATGTGTTTTATGTTACCTTGACGACCTCTGTTTGTGTTACTCTTGGATGTATCTAGAACTGAGGTGTGTCCTCTCCCTCCCTTATCGTTTTGTTTGCTGTATGTTACCTTCGACCCCTGCTTGGTACATACATACCTCTTTCGCTCAACAGGACCCTCTGTCTTCAGATTTCAGAGGACGAGCAAGAAAACACCTCCACCTTTGCTAACATCACGTTTGCCTTCCACCTTTGCTAACGATTTTTAATTCACTTTTGCTTTGTAGGTTATTTCTCCTTCATTGGTTAACAGTTTTCTTTTTTCCCAGGACTATGGGATGGCTCAAGCATATACTTCAGGAACAAGGTATGATATTCAGTTCGCAGGGAATGAATGATTTTGTGGACTTGCTTGAGGAAGTTTGTCCTTGGTTTCCGAAACAGGGTCCTTTGACACTGGATGTATGGCATAAAGTGGGTGCAGAGTTACAGGTGTATTATACTAAGCAAGGGCCGTTACAGGTCCCAGAGGAGACTTTCATGCTCTGGACTCTCATTCAAGATTGCTTGAGGTCCGGGCCAGAAAAGGAAAAAGTTGCTGAGCATGGGGTATTGACTTGTCCTGCTCAGTCTTCCACAGGCACCGAACTAGAGAAGTCTCAGGAGTTGTTTGACAATGTGTGAGACCACCTCTAGGAGACCTCTGAGTCCTCTACTGAGGCTTCAGCCTTACAGTTACAAGCTAAGTTGTCTCCCTCCATAATACAAATACAGCCTGAAAAGAACACCCAGACACGGCCTACGCCTACTCACACTCAGGTCTGTGTGTCTTCTCAGATGATGCAAGGCAACTCTGTCGCTATGGTATACAATCCTTCTGTGTCTTATACATCATCTTTAATGTCTCCATTACAAAAGATTGTGCAGCAGGCAACTGCTGCTGGAGAGGATGTTTCGGGGTTCATGTCAATCATGGAGCCTAATGACAGTCAAGGTAATGGAGATACTGTTTCAGTTCAAGTCTTTACAAAACTTTAAATCTGCTTGTATGCAACAAGGCCCTACAGCTCCTTTTACTCAGGCTGTGTTAGATTCCCTGCCTACTGAACAGTTGCCTCCTAATGATTGGAAATCACTGGCCAAAGATTGTCTGTCAACAGAAGAATATTTTATATGGAGGTCACATTTTAGCAAATTCTGTCTGGCTACAGCTGACCTAAATAGACATCTACATATTCCTGTTACTTTTGACATGCTTGCAGGTCCAATATAAGGAGACGGAGCAGCAGCTAAATTTCCCTAACGCCGTTTATGCTCAAGCTAATGTTGCAGCAAAAAAAGGCCTGGAACAAGCTGCCCAATACTGGACGGCAGACTGAGGACCTGGCTAAGATCAAACAGGGTCCTAATGAGTTGTATCAGGACTTTGTGTCTAGGCTTTTTGTCAGCTGCAAGGCTAATACACGGCTTGTGAAGTGTGTGGCTTATAAAAATGCAAATGTTACCTGTCAGGCAGTTCTGAAAGCATATGGAAAGAAAGGAACCTTGTCTGATTATATCAGACGTTGTTCTAACATTGGCCCAGTTCATGACATGTTTCACCAACAGTCAAAGAAACAATGTTGCCAGTGTGGCAAACCCTACGGTCCTTCTCAACAGGAAAAGTGAACTTCTCCAATACTGTCAGGAAGGTCTCCATGACACCCTCTTTGGCATAACATTCTCTTTTCAAGTTAGTTACAGTGTCTATAGGTACCTGGTACCCAAAGCTTTAAGACAATAAGAGTAGATGCCAGAGCCTGCACCATTGATTTTCTTGTTCACCATGTCACTTGTAGTTACATTCTCTAAAGATGAATTTGACAAGTAACATATATTACATTTAAGTTTAATTTCAAGTCATTTCTTTTAATATTTGTTTTAAGCTGTTCTTGTCATGTTTGTTTCATGTTACCTTGGAAACCTATATTGTGTTGTTAGGGAACCTCCTTTCTGATAGTAATATCTCCATGACAACAATAGTATTTGTTTTCTATTACCTTAGTTACGTACCTCATAGTATATAGAGTTCTTCTTTCATGCACAGGTATCATTACTTAGCTTCCACTCCTGGTGAGTACACCTTGGAGCATGCCTTCACAGTCATATTTCCTTTACAGCTTACAACTTTAATCCAGAAATTGTTCATACTGACTTTGTCTTCCTTTGGTGTTTAGAGTTTAACCTTATCTACATTTCTTTAGGATTGCTAACATTAAAATTTTACTTTGCATTTAGGCACTGATACTGCTATTGTCTATAGCCATGTCTTCCTCCCATAAAGGCAACCTGTTGTTCATCACATTTCTTATATTCATTTGGATTTCTGCTGTTGGCACTGAGAACATTTATTGGGCTCATGTACCCAATCCTCCTCTTCTACGTCCTTATACTTGGAAAGAGCCCACTATTGTGGTTCCTACTTTTCCTATGAATGTTTTGTCACCTCCTTATGGAACAGGTCAGCCGGATTTTCCTGATGAAGAAGGAAGAGTCTTTAAGTATACTCAGTTCATCACTACTGAGATTATGTGCTTTTGATATTATGTGCTTTGGCGTTCCTCCTTGCTATCCTATAAAACAGCAACATTGGGTTGTTCCGAAAGGTGGATGGAATCGTAGTCATCCAGATGGCTACATTTTTCTGCCCAGTCAAT